CTTCTCACAGTTTCCTAAGCAGTACCTGTGCAGTTTGTACAGACGATAGCTTTGTTCAGTAGTGGAAACGAGGGAAAAAATGTGTTTATATGTATACAAAATCTAAAAGTTGCTTGAACAAGGCAGGCTTCAGCCTGTTTAAGTGCGGGCAAATGGTTGAAGATGTCCCAGAGTGCTCTGTTAGATTCTCTTCGTACCAGCCTGAAGCACCCAGGCCGGTCTTCAGAAAATATGAAACTGATCTCACGGGAGGGAAACTGATGTTGTTCCTTAATGATTTTTCTTTCACCAACTACTTAAAAGCTATGTCTCCTAGCTTATATCACATATCTGGAAACCTACACTGGGCTGCAGGCTACGGTCCTAGGTCATTTTTATTCGAGTAGATGATCTGGCTTTTGGTCACAGGTTGATATTTCCTTAGGTGCTTTAGAAGCCTAAAGTAGCTAGCGTTGCCTTGACTGAGGGGAAAAGTGGTCGAAGTCTTGGAGGGAGAAGTGTTCAATGCCATCTCTGTCACAGGATTTCCTTAGGGTAGACATGAAGTAACTTGACTGTTTCTGCATACGCTTACCTACTCGTACAATGGGAAATATTTCGCTATTTTCCCAACGTGTGGCAACTTTGTTTCAAGTGCAAAATTTCTTGTAAGATATGTAGAGTAGTCTGAATTTGTGTGTTAAAGCAGCCGTGAAAAACACCTGTTAGCAGGTTCTTTCCTCCAGAATGTTCCTGGAATGTTCCTGGAAAGCCCCTCCAGAATGTTGGCTGCATATGCAGTTTTGGTGTTGATAAGGGTATGTTTAATTGTCAGTGCTTTTGGTTATATTTAGAAATAACTTCCTAGCAGCAGTTAAATAGTCTCTTCTCTGAAGCTGTCTCATTTTTCCATAGCTTTTCTTAGGGAGAAGAATGAAGTTCCTTGAAGCAATGGATAAGCTTGAGAGAAGATGTGGGAATTTTTTTTTTCAGTTGTAACTTAAAATGCTTGTGATTAAGCCCTTAGAAGAAAGAGACATACCTTTTGAAAGCTGCATTTAGTCCAACTTACTTATCGGTAACGTACAGCACTGCAAATGAGGCAGAATCCTGACTTTGCTGTGTGGGTAAGGCAGGGAGAATGTCCCGGTGGACAAGACAGACTGGAGTCAGTAGGGTACCCTTGTAGCAGAGCGTAGCCTGGGCTGTATTAGCAGGAGGGCCACTAGCGGAGCACGGGAAGGGGTTCTTCCCTGCTGTTGGGCACTGGTGAGGCCACGCTTGGAGTACTGGATCCAGTTTGGGCTCCCCAGTACGAAAAAGATGCTGACATACTAGAGCAAGTCCAGTGCAGGGCCACCAGGATGGTCAGGGGCTGGAGTACATGACGTAGAGGAGAGGCTGAGGGAGCTGGGTTTGTTCAGCCTGGGGAAGAGAAGGCCAGGAGGGATCTTATTCTTGTCTACAGCTACCTGATGGGGAGTACAGAGAAGACAGAAGCAGACTCTTCTCAGAGGTGAGAATTAGGCAGCAACAGGCAACACAGGAAATTCCAGTTAAATATTAGAGGCAGGTACCCAGAAAGGTTGTGGAATCTTCATCCTTGGAGATGCTCAGACTTCCCTGGACGAGGCTTGGTACAACTAGATCTAGCTGGCTGGGCTTTGAATAGGGAGGCTGAGTTAAATGACCTCTGGAGATCCCTCACGCCTGTTAGGGGGGGGGGGGGGGAGGGGGGGGGGAGAGAGAGAAAAAAAAATTGAAGGCCTGTTGTCAATTTATATTTTATTTCCATTAAAGCTTTTGAAATATTAAGAATTGGATGGTTGCCACAGGAAGGCCATGGCTAAGTGGCCCAAAGTATTTGCCAAAGATAGAGGAGATAAATTCTGAAGTTTTTACCCTGGCTTGTTAAGGGTTTAAGTTTCAGTTTCTTGTGCTTCAAGTGATAGCATGGCTGCCCTCAGTCTGTCTTCCTCCCTTTATTGCTATCTAGCTACTTGGCAGAATGGGACTCCTGAGTAGGAGAGAGACCAGCAATAGTCCGGGGGCTGAGGTACCCGTCTGGGGACTGAGCCGTTTTTTAGGATTGGTGAAAGGAGGCAATGCTTCACCTGAGAAGATTTAGCCATTTGTGAACCCAGCTCCAGCACTGATAGTCTCCATAGCAATATTTTTTCTGACTGTGAGCTGGGGAAATCCTCCTGCTTGAGCTGTTCACATAATAACAAGGGCTTGCTCATCTTGAACCTGCGTAGTGTTTCTGCATCAGGTTTGGAGGTCGAGTCCTTTTCCTTGGGGTTGTCTTGTCTGAAGTTGTTTCAGTTTCTTCCCTTGGTTAGATAATCAGTTAGTTCAGCTTCAACAAAACAAAAACACCTGAACAGCTGCCTCCAGACTATGAGACAGTTGAAGACAACAGCAAGAACACAGGGCCAGGAATTATCCACCTTGGTTTTCTATAGTATCTTGCAGAAGAATTGTAGTTCATGCAAGAAAGTGAATAGCAGATGTTTCACTCTTGTTTTCTGGCCTTTGAGAGGTTCTCCTGGCATTGCTAACTCCAGTTGGGTCTCCAGCCAGATGGCCGTTTACCGTATACTCGGAGCAGAGGGGAGTCATGGAATGACCTTCTGGTTGACTAGCAGCAGAACTGGGGGTTCATCTCCCCTACGTTATGCCACTCCAGCAGGCTCAAAAGAGCTGTGCCATGCAGACTGCTGTGCTCGGTTTGATGGCTTTGGGCCCACCTCCAGGAGCGGGGATGAAGGAGGCCCTACATCAGCCCGGGCTAATACTGACTTGAGGTACCGCTGGCGGAGGCTGGCAGAGAGCTTTCACAAGGGCAAACTCCGTAACCTGGATTTAAGATGAATAGAGCTGTTCTTCACATAAAGTCAAGGAGGGCAAAAAGACAAAATGGTCCTTTTAACCATGTGGGTGTGCTGCGTGTGAAATGCATGCAAACCTCACTAAAAAATTGTATATGTAAATGGTCACAGGTATCAATGTAATTGGAGTTAAGAGTCTGAGTTGGGCTTGCAGGGAAAAGAGCGGTGCTATGCTTTCCTCTTGAAGAAGTGCTTTAATATTTCCACCATGCTTTGATTTTAAAAATGCTGCTGCTGCAAAGTGTCTAGTATTAGTTACCAGCCTTAGTGACTCTGAGGTTGGGGGTTAATTTGCCCCTTTCAGAACTGTCAAAGTCCCACTGCAATTCAGGATGCTTATAACCTCTTCCTGGCTTCACTGCTGGCCTGCTGGGTGAGGCTGGCAAGTCATGTCACCGTTCTTGTTCACCCCGTCCGTGAACTGATGAGGGTGATATTGGTCTCTGGAGATGGCCTTATTAAAAAGCGCTGTATGAGAAGTTCAAGTTAACCTTGATACCTCCATGCCGTAGAACCTCTGCAGCAGTCATCTCTCACTGCCTCCTGAAGCCACTATGTTGTTTGCGTGTGAAACTTCTACTAAATAGCAACTTCTGTGAGCTTAGTTTTGAATGAAAAAATGCAGGTTTAGTGAGCGTTTGCGTAAGTGTGGAATGCATGCGTTGCCCCCAGGAGAGCTTAGGTGCAGGGTGTTTTGTTTTGTTTTTTTTTTAATATGATTCTTGTTACAGTTAGTTTCCAGTGATGCATATCTGCTTTTTGCATCTCCCCACTTTTCTTCTTGCCTTGTAGCTCCTGTGGGTTTGTTTATTTGTTCATTGTTGTGAAACTGTACTCGTGTTCAGAAGTGAGAGTGGTTTTACCTCCATTTATGGCTTGCAGCAATTTCACAGAATTTTTTTCCAGCGAGACCATAATAGATACTCTCCATTAAAGTGCTGTCAAGCTGACACCTCAAATCACCAGTCACTTATGAGCAGTTGGGGCCACGGTCATGTGATATAATAATGGTACTGTCTCCTTACTTTTTAACAAGAGCCAACTGTTCACGTTTTCTATTTATAAACTTTCCCTTTTGGGCAGAGACAAGGAATGGAAAAAAATTCTGGTTTGAGAGTCATAAGCGGAATGAAAGGAGTAGAATGGAAACTGATATCATCTGACAGTAGCATTTCCTGATAGTTTAGCTATAGTATTTTAAAACTACCCTGCTAAAATTATAACCTGTTAGTAGGAGTTTTATGTAATGGCCGTTTTGTTTTGTTTTGTTCTAGTTTATCCTTCCCCAGGGATGGGCTAGACAGAGATTCAGTTCTCCCAGCATGTGCCCAGTACTTTGACAGCAAAACACGAAGAAGGTAACTTTGCAGTGTTGACAGAAATGGTACCTATGCATAGCCTGCCAGGAAAGGTGGAAGGATCCCGAACAAGTGGCTTTGCTTGGTTCATTACTGGCTGCAGAGAGTTGTAGGAGACCTCTGCTTTTATAATCGTGTCAAGGAGCACCCAGAGCAAAGGACAGGTATTGCTGCTTTCTGAATAAGCCTACCAACCCAGGTCAGAACCCGTGAGCAGCTTTAGGACCCAGTTGCCTGTATTGTTTTATTATTATTATTATTAAGTTTCTTAACTTCCCCTCTTAAGTAAGGCAGTCTGTTCAGGTTTTCGTTCGCTGCATCTGTACTTCCAGATGGGATATATATCTATATGTGGGCTTTATATGTATCTTGGGAATCGCCCACGCGATCCGTTGCCCCCGTCCGTAAGCGGCTCG